ACTCCATTTTACAAATGAAACTATTGTAGGTACTTTCCATATCTAAATTTAAATAGATTATAAAAGCCAGGCATTACAATTCTCTAGATAGTTACTTGCATTTCTAAATTCAGTCTGAGATGGGTTTGTTTCTCAGATTGTCTCCAACGGGCGACACGCACCAAATATGTCTCTCATTGCAAGAGACATCCCATATTCCAAAAGAAAGTGTACTGCATTGCATTTTAAAAAACAGCTCTAAAAGATTATCATTAGCATAATTTAACTGCAGTGAAACCATCACAAAGCACTTAAGGCTGCCCATAAATGAGCACCATTTTATTTATCCAGTTCTGAATATAAGGATGAATTACTTCAGCCTGCATTATTAATACTACAGTCATGAAGGAACACTATGGACCAGACAGTGCAATGCGTGGTAAGAACACATCTAGCATCGTTTGGAAAATACATACGTGCACATGTGTATGCAAGTAAATTCACACATACAATGTGATGTATTGGGTAGCATATACTACATTTTGAAAGGTTTGCACAATTGAGAAAATGAAGCTGAAATGGTGTGTCCAAATAAACTGGGGATTCAATGGCTCCAGTGAGGGAAACAAGTCAATGGTGGACTGCATCCACATCTTCAGGAACAGAACAAAACCACCTTCGTAATTTTAACTGTTGTCTGACTTGCAGACCTGTGAAAAGAGTAGAGGTTAGCACATATCTGGCACCTGTTTTAAACCTTAACATAGACTTCTCAGAAATAATCCCAGGCAATTTGAATAGTGAGGAAGTTAGCATCGCCGCCTACCTCCCTTTCTGTCATGTTTGTCAGGAGACGATTTTAGCCTTCAGCCCCAAGAAGGTTGGTCTGGCATACTGCTTGAGCATTAGACTACACCAGTTCTCTTCATTCCCATTAAACTGAAAAAAAAATACACAAAATATCTCTTGAAGTTCAAAAGCATGCATAGAAGTGTGCACCAGCACCCTGTCTCTTCTAGTGGACTGGCTATTATGGGAAAGCTGAAACCTGTAGAGCTAAGCATATAGTAGTCCAGTATCTAAAGATTCTCCCAAATATGAATATCCCAAGGCAGAGTGAAATATAAAGGTCTATAATGAATTAGGTGTCAAATGCCTACAAAAATACCTAAAAAAGTTCTTTGAGCCAAAACAAGAATACACTTGCCACAAAAGATGGGTGTCCAAATTAGTATAATACAGGATCAGGCTTTTGTTTGCTCTCCATCTCCAGGTCAATAGATTTTGTGTTAAACACTTCACTCACAGAAAATTGAATTCTTTCAAATCACAAGAAGGTAGGTGATGTGAAAAAAAAGTACTTGAACACAGCTTTCCCACATCACAAATGAGTGCTTTTAGTCAAAGCCCAGTGTGGCTGCTACTTTGGCCATGTTTCAGAATAAAGCAGTGCCGTTGCTGCCACCTTGCCTGTAGTGCTCTGCCTGGGAAGCGTTTTCAGCGTGACCTGCTCAAACTTTTTTTTGGATTCGGGTGCCTACTTTCTGCTGAAACTCACTGCAGGCACCTAAAATCTCTTATAAATTCAGCCACAGCTGAATTCTGAAGCAAAAGATGTAAATTAAAAAAATCATTAACAGGTTTCTATTCTTCCCTTAACATAAAGCTCATATTGATGATTTTCTCATCAGTACTTGTCCTGGTTAAAGGGAGAGGAACTTCTCCCTTAACCAGGCCAAAGAGACCATGAAAATGACTCAGCAGCCCGAAGCCAACCTGCAACCCAGCAGAACGCAGGACATGGGCAGTGCTCCCCTGTGCTCCCACAGGAAATCTGTCATGCAGGTACTTCATAGCATGCTTCCTACCATGCACAGGCAGGCTTGACATCCATGCGAAATATAACTCAAAATGCAGCCAGAGGAGAGGCAGAACATCAGCCTTTTGACTGCTAACTCAGGGATGAAAACACTCGTGCAGGAGCGGAGAGACCAGCATTCAGTCTCCTGCTCCAAACTTTACGGGAAGCAACCTTCAGATGGAAAAGAGAAGAACACTTCCCTCTTTCTCTCTACCTTTTCCTGGCCACTAGATAACAAAATCTTAATCTTTTTCTGATCCAATAAATATCAAAATCCTCTCTGTGGGGGAACTAAGTGCAACTGGTAGAACTATAGCAGGAAAGCTGGAGAATACAGCTTCTTCCCACCACAGTCACACCACATCACTAATAATAACTGAGCTCTTGGAAGAAAGAGATGAGTGAGCAAGTTTTGACTAGATCAGGTGCAGAAGGGAACTGAAACCAATCTCTCCCTTCTGCCATGGCTGCTTTATTTCAATAAAAAGCAAACAAGAGAATAAAAACTGTTTGCTTGTGTATGGGAGGACAGGAAGGTATAATATGTCTTCAAATAACCATGTTTTAAACAAAAATGACAAACCATTCTCAGCTCTTCAAAAAAATCACTTATTCTCATAAGTGAGGTTCCTGGCAGTGAATTCAAGCTGACAGAGTCCTGCAAAATGACAAGCAAAACCATGGCTAAGGTTTGCCCATGTATCCCATTTGCCTCAGACGTCAGCTATAAGCATCTCTTTGCCTCAGAGGCAAGCTGGCTGTCACCTCAGGTGGTAGTAATTTGGATTGCATTCAGTCCTAACTCTTCCTGGGTATGAGATAAAGAGCCTAAATGTCTACCTCAGGACTCCGGTTTGTCTGCAAAGGCGATTACTTAAAGGTTTGATGTGCCGCCCAAGCTCTTAATTGGATCCAACCCTGTAATTTGTTCCATAATAGGATGACCCAGCAGGATTATTTACAGCACAGCATGAAAGCAAATGCCAAAGAAGTGACAATGCAGCAGTACAAAGATGTTGTATTGATTGTATAAATTGCCTCATTCAACAGCCTTAGGCTGACTATGAATATTTCAGTGTTGTACCTCTCTTCAGTCTCACATCTAATGTGTTTCTTGAGTAAACAAGTGATGCTTGGGAAAGCCTTCCTCCCTTAATACAAAATAAGACATGGGTTCCCAAAGAAAGCTCAGCAGCAATCAATTCGAGATTTTAAAATTAACTGAGGCATAATGGAAGACATCTTCAAAATAATTCTGTAATAGCCTGATGGGTTTATTCCACTGAATTTAAAGGAGGTAATTTTTTTCAAAATATAATGCCACTAGTACAAAAAAAAAAAGTTATTGAAAATCCTGTGATACTGAAAGAAAATTAAGTTTCAAAATGGCAGTGTTCAGACAACACTGGGATTTTGTTGTGCTACTACCCTGCCCAAACAACCAAGAACTTAACAACAGGTTCCAGAAGAGCTGTGGCAAAGTCCTGCTGGATGTTTCACGTGCTGCTCTATCACTTTTTGATTTTGTGTAATGGTGTCACATAGTTTTGAGAGCCAATTACCAGCAAGGACCTTGTTCACAAATTGTGACCAGGGATGAGACAAGCAGGTGTCCACCCTAACAGCACACTGAAGGAACAAGGTCTTGCCTAGTAAAAAGGCAAGAAGTGTATAACATGCCATCCATGTGTATAACAGCTGTGAGAGTGTCTCTGCCATCCAAGCAGATACCATGGGTGCTAAAACTACTTTTTGAGCTGAAAGTTATTATTAGCAACCCCCTCTGCAAGGGGAGAGAAGAGACTGTGCAATCAGACGCTATTATATCACGCGACCAAGTCCACACATGCTGGAGGTAGCCATCTGAAATGGGAAGACAATTTTCCTCAGACTTTCTGGCTAAATTTTTTTCTGTTCTTGGTAAAAATGCATATATTACAGGCAGTTAGACTTCTCAGAAATTAAACACAAATATTTGCATATTCAGATCAGCCTAGGGTATGCAATGTACAGAACTACTGGATAGCATGACCATAGACAAAGTGCAACCCGAAGAAAATCATTGGGAGTGAAATGTTTTAAATGAACCTCTGTTTAAGGCTTGATTTGTGAGAGATGCTGAGAGCCCAGATCATACATCCCAATATTCAGAAACCAGCTCTGAAAACATTTAACTGAAAAATTTCTATCTAACTCTGTCCACAGAATGGGACTGACGGTACTTACAGAAAATCTTAAAACTTGCAGTCACAAGCATGCTATATAAATGCCAGCTATTATCATGAGCATGTCTGAAGCTGGCTTGAAACTGTGTGAATAGCAGATTACGCATCACCAACAAAAACTTTCCGAAGGAAACATTCAACACTGTCAGGAAGAGAGACATGCTAGCTTCTTGCCACCTACAGGTGAAACACTAAAATCCTCATGGTCCAGCAGCTAACTACATCTCAGACTCCAGTGTTTGGACAGCAAATTGCCTCAGAACCAGAGCTGACATTAAATGCAAACAGCTTTGGGATTCCAAACTTTGTGCAACTTATGGAATCTTATCTAGTTTTATTTTAAAGTTGAAGCATTTTCAATTTTAAATAGTTTGGTTTTTCTAATCAGTGCACTTGACAAGGCTTTGCTTGATAGTTTTTTTATGAAGAATAGCTGAAAGACCTCCTTTTTTTTTTTTCCTAGTCCCATGCCATGCTTCTGCTAATTACCATTGATTAGCAAACAGCTTGCCAATTAACCAGGTAGTCATCAGTTTGATAGCATTGCATGTCATCCAAAAGGTAGGGAGAATTTATTGTTAGTTTCAGACAATTAGCAAGGGGCTGGCAGAGCTAACAATTGCCTAAAAGCTAAATGTTCCAGAACCGCTGAGATAAATTATTGCATCAATTAAAACACATGATTGGATATTTGTAAGTATATTTAAAGCTACCAAACAAGCTTCTAACTGTCATAGGGTAGAATCAGAAATTAGTGGAAGGAGAAAGACTAGCAGAGGTTTTTTGGTGTTGTGTTTGGGGGTTGTTGTTTTGGTTGGCTTTTTTTAAGCTGTCATAATTTGTTCTGTTCTAGTCTGCCATTAACTTTAGTTAAATATAACTAAAAGCTAGTATTGACTTAAAACAAAAGCATCTGGTAAAGAGTAAGACCTAAAATGACTTTCCTTCCAAAGTGGTTAACTTTTCTAAAAGGCAAAGAGGTTGTTATTGCTAATGCTATAATTGCAATATTGACAATTGGTGGGCAGCAGCTCTTCTCTTTTTTTACATTCAGCTGTCCCTGTCATGTTGGGCAGAACCTTACCTATGGGCTGGCTTTCTTAGGAGTTCCTGCACTGATCCTTCTAATTGTTGGCTATGCCCTGAATAACCAGACTTGGAGGCTTGTTACAGGCAAAAGGTCTCCTCTTGAGGAAGAGACTACACCAAATCGGTTACTGCAATGCAAACTGATCTGCTTCGTCTTGTGCAGCATCACTGGGAGAGCACTGGTTGCTCCAGTAACGTGGCTAGCAGTCACCCTGGTAAATGGCTCATATTACGTCTGTGCCATGAGTGAGTATGTCTCCGTGCACTATTATGGAGCTGATCCTAATGTTACTGCTAGTGAACGCAGAAGGATACTGGCTGCATTTCCATGCAGTCAGTTAGTTCCTCCGGAGCTGACCCAGGCAAGAGATGAAGTGATACTCCTACTCCGATACCAGTCACAAGTGAGTAACTCATGTTGCTTCTGTTGCCTGCGGATCCAATGATGAGATCTGTAGTTAATTCAGCAGGCAAAATGTTAGGATAAAACAGGATCCGTATCTTCTGCCTTGAGTGCCAAATCTCTGTGTGTTTTGAAGCCTGCTTCGTTCCTGTAAGTGGAACTGAACTTTAGGTATACAAATTACTATGTCTGGTTGTCCTGTTTGTTACCTGCTACTGGCAGATATATTCTTCCTTGCATAGTACCTTGAAAAGTACTATCAAGTAAGACAAATGGAAGCTCAAGAGCCAGGCAGGGTATGAATTTTCTTCATTCAAGCCTAAGAAACACGTGACTAAGGGGCCCAGGTTGTGAGAGCTCCACGTGAACCAAATTAAAATCTTGGGTTTCAGATCAGACTCAATTCTGAAAACTTACATACTAGGTAAATAACAGGGGGAACATTAAGTTGTCACTTCAGAGAAAACTAGTTTTAAACAGGCTATAACCTAATATAGGCTACGAATCAGATGGCTTCTCTTCTTGCAGTAATAGCTGTGGAGGCACAATCCTTAACAAATTATACAACAGAACTTCCTTAAACTTTAACAGAAAGAAATGACTTTACTACATGGCTGCCTCCACTAGGCAGGGACTGGGCTTGATGGCAACTAACCCTTACTGGGCTTATATCTTGTTAACCTTATTATTCATGAAAAGCAAGTAAAGATCACTTTACAGATTTTTCTGATGCTCAGAAGTTACCACTGTGAGTATTTTCAGCTGTAACAGTTTTTTTTTTTTCTTTTGTTTTTCTTTGTAAGGTGGCTGGCTGGCTTCTGATTGCTGTGGTAGTCATCACTGTCTTCCTGTCTTACTGCCTGGCAAGCTGTTTCTCCCCACTCAGCTTTCTGCATTTCAGATACTGGAGCAACTATGTCCATAATGAGCAGGAGCTCTTTGATGAAGCGACGGACCAGCACTCCAGGCTCTATGCCATGCAGCATGTAAGGAAGTTCTTTGGCTTTGTCCCAGGGAGTGAAAATGTAAGGGAAATCCGTATCCCATCTCTCAGAGAGTGGCAAGCCATTTCTGGACTGGCCTTCCTAAAACGAGTGGATGAGGAGCACTATGACTACAGCCTCCTCCATGACTGGGCACTCAGGGAGTCTGCACATGAAAAATACCTGAAGATTGATGAAGACCCTGTGAGCAGAACACAGCTCTGAGGGTCCAAGCACCCACCAACACCCTCCAGAGAAGCAGGAACATGTCTCGCTCCACATCAGACCTGAGCTGCTCTGGAACTTCCCGATGCCTTATTACATTGATTAACAAGATGTACTTGCTCACGTACTTTATTTATGTAGTCCTCTGGCACGTGCTTACAGACACTTCTTCTGATGGTGTCCGACTCCTGTGGGATATGATGGTCTATGTCTAAATTAGGGTGGGCTGTTTCAAGCTGCAGCTCTCTGCTTTCTCATACTTGTGCTAAAAGGATGAGTATGTACTGGGAGAGAAAGTTATTCCCAAATGCTTTTTCTTTCCTCCCATTAGAAAATTTTTAAAAATTAATGGCTAGACTTTGATTGGATCCTATGAGTCAGGCCATTCTGTATAGAGCAAAAGCAGATATCCAGCTTTGTCTCAGTGACCCCTAGCAGAAATGCCTTATTCCTCCTCTTCCGTATCTTTCTTGTATTTTGTGAATAAAATGTACTGAGCTAACCACGAGCTAAGTCTGTGGCTACAGTAGCAAGGAAGAAACATATGGGGAAACTTCAGCAACAAAGGCTGGGTCTAGATACAGCAATGAGAGAACTTCCAATTCTGTTAAGGAGATAAAATGGCCACTGAGAGGCACAGGATGGAGGGGTGCAACATGTGGCAGCTGTATGAACAAACACTTTACATGCAGAAAATTGAGTTCAAATGTATTCTGGCTGAAAGCAATAGCAAGGTCAGCCTCCTGTTCCCTCAAAATCTCTCGGGTGTTTGTGTGCTTGCCTACTGTACAAACAGCAAATTGGGATGGGAAACAAAACTCTGTGCAGTAAGGTCTGCTTTGCCTGTGGAAAACTTACAATTCAGTCATACTACTGTGCCCATAAATATTCCTGTGATTAAAAACTACTGAATTTAGTGAAAGAAGGCTTAATGATGGTTTTATGTTAATTTATGTTAATTCAGTGTGGTATGATGTGATGTTACTGTGTCTCATCTCCCCTCTAACTCCCTATGCAGATGTTTCCAACACTAAAGGGGGAAAAATGCATACCATAGTTTTTCCTACTGCTTCCTGTAGTGCCTTGCCAGCTACACATGTACATGTGTGTGCTACAAAGCCATGTGCTAATTATAGGATGCTACCTGCTGTTAACAAAATGACCGCAGAGTGTTGAAGTGGAAAAATATAATTACTTAGTACATTTTAGTAGAAAATGCAGGAGCCATAAGTAAGTTCAATTGTAGATCTTGGTAAATGTATTTGGTCTTGAAGAGTTAAACTTCTAAACAAAAGCAACCACTGTAGCAAATGCAAACAATGTCTGTGCTGAATAACTGGAGAATGATGCATATTTTACATCACTAAACAAATTCCCATGTCTTTCATCTGAATCCTAAACTTTCAGGTATGTGGTGGATTGACCCTGGCTGGATGCCAGGTGCCCACCAAAGCTGCTCTCTCATTCCCCCTCCTCAGCTGGACAGGGGAGAGGAAATATAACAAAAAGCTCATGGGTTGAGATAAGAGATCACTCACCAATTTCTGTCATGGGCAAAACAGACTCGCCTTGAAGAAATCAGTTTAATTTATTACCAACCAAATCAGAGTAGGACAATGAGGAATAAAACCAAATCTTAAAACACCTTCTTCCGCACCCCTCCCTTCTTCTCGAGCTTAACTTTACTCCCAATTTTCTCTACATCCTCCCTGCTAGCGGTGCAGGGGGAGGGGGAATGGGGGTTGTGGTCAGCTTATCACGCGTTGTCTCTGCTGCCCCTTCCTCCTAAGGGGGAGGACTCCTCACACTCTTCCCCTGCTCCAGCGTGGGGTCCCTCACACAGCAGACAGTCCTCCATGAACTTCTCCAACGTGGGTCCTTCCCACAGGCTGCAGTTCTTCATGAACTGCTCCAGCGTGGGTCCCTTCCATCGGGTGCACTCCTTCAGCAACACTGTTCCAGCATCAATCCCCCATGGGGTCACAAGTCCTGCCAGCAAACCTTCCCCAGCATAGGCTCCTCTCTCCATGGGGTCACAGCCTCCTTTGGGCACATCCACCTGCTTTGGTGTGGGGTCCTCCACAGGCTGCAGGGGAATCTCTGCTCCAGCACCTGGAGCACCTCCTCCCTCTCCTTCACTGACCTTGGTGTTCCTCTCACATATTATCATTCTTCTCTCCAGCTATAATTGCTGTTGTGCAGGTTTTTTTCCCCTTCTTAAATATGTTATCCCAGAGGCACTACCACTGTCGCTGATGGGCTTGGCCTTGGCCAGCTGCGGGTCCGTCTTGGAGCTGGCTGGCATTGGCTCTGTTGGACATAGGGGAAGCTTCTGGCAGCTTCCCACAGAAGCCACCCCTAGCCAATACAAGGTAATAAACCCGCACTGTTTATATGAACTCCTTAGGAAGCAAAGTACCTCTGTTAGTAAACACAATCTCTAATTTAACTTTAAAAATCTTTGTGGTTTTTTATTTAAGTAAGACGGAACACTGTGTGTAATCTGGAATACATGCAACTGATTTGTGTATCTGAAAGTTTTGGAAAAAAAACCCTATGCTGATGTCTGGGTCCAAACGACAAAAAACTGTTGTCTTTGTTCTACATGGGCTCTTTCCACTTCTTCCCTTGTTTTACAGTACCACTATAAAATGATGCACTATTTGCAGCTAAGAGAAAGAGTGAGCTGCCAAATTCTTTTAACTTCTTGCTAAACTACCTTTTAAATTAAACTTCCTGTTTTCTGATTTTGTCCCAAATACTATTTGCCCTGTATTTTTTTTTATAGTTTAGAATTTAAAATACTGAGTGGAAGTAATACCTGTATCTGTCATTGTGAAGTCAGCCTGCCAATATACAGACTATCACCCTGTGAGCATATATTAATCCATAGTACTAAATACAGCTGTAGCTATATAGATACAGGTGATGTGGTGTATTTCCCTTCACTCCTCTCCTCCCCGAAACACATCATGGATTGGTAGTGAAGGCGTGGCTTTCAAAACAATTCATGATTACAGAAAAATCAATGAGTTGGTACTGAACAGTCCAACTGCGCCTGCTAAAACCTGAGTCATCTTACCCAAAATCAATTTAGAATTGCAGTTTGCTCGCTTGAAGTGAAAATGATTCTCTTTATGTCTGTGGAAAAAGTTTTTTGGAGACTCTGGGCTTGTAAAATGCACCTGAGGGAAAAGTGCTGGTCACACGCCCAGGAAACTGATGCACCTTAGAACTACTCTGTGTTCCGAGTACCCACCAGGGCCTGCCGCTGTTCAGCCCTCAACAGTCTTAAATTCATCCTTGCAGGTAACCCCCAAGTATGGGAGCTCCCAATATTGCTAGCCCTGACCACTCCTGTTCCGCACTTACGTGGTGACGCTGCTCATGCCATGGGGCTTCTGAAATCACTGTGAATGTTTCCTGGAAAGTCTGCAGGTGCTTTTTGACTCCAAGCTGTACCACCAGCTGACTTTTCCAGCTGCATCAACCGAACTTCCAAGCTCAGGCTGAAACGGCATTCAGCTGTCTCCATGGCACCGCAGCAACAGTTTTGAATCCCGTTCAGTTTGCTTATCCCTGTAAATTGTCAGTGAAAGAAGGACAAAGGGGGAATGCCCGCCTAGCAGCAATGAACTTTTTAAAAGTACCTCTGAAGCCTGCGTCTTCAGCTGGGAGCCCACAGGCCCTCAGGAGTCTGAATAACAGAGCCTGACCACCTCACCTATTCCAAACACGGCTATTCCGGG